GTGGGGTGGGCAGCATCAGTGTCCCCTTGGCACGAGGCACGGGGAAACTGAGGCAGAGAGGATGGGATGCCCAGCTGCCCCCCGTGCTCTCCCACTGTCCCAGCGAGGGCAGGGGGGGCAGCTGCTTCCCTGCACCCTTGGAGCACCCAAAAGTAGCCATCGACCAGTGCCCCTCTTCTGCTTTACTTAAAGACAACTGACTACGAAGGTGGAGTTTATTGGTCTTACTGTGGCATCTCGTCCCTAGCATGGGCAGTAGGAAATCTCTAGCACCGTAAACAGCCGTTCCCTGACTCGTTTCAAGTGGTGGAAGGGTGTATGTGCAGATCTCGCTTCCACGAGTGCATTTCTGTGCGTGTGTGCACAGCCACGGCGGGGAGGGGGAGGGAGTGAAAGGGACCCCATGAGACGGGCTTTGCAGAGCCAGGGCCAGCGAGTCACACCGGGCTGGGCAAAAGCAAGCAAGCTGAAGTTTACATCTGAAAAGGAGCGGCGATAGCGAGCTACCCGCAGGGCAGGATGCATGCAATCGTGAACTGCCACCGGCCCGGGAAGCTCAGCTCAGGGGTAGCCCCGCGTCTGGGTTAGCACAAGGTATTTTAATGGCTCAGAAATAATAAGACAAGGAGAAGGCTCAGTCCAGAAGCAGTCTGAGGGGCCGGTGTCCTTGAAAGCGCCGCTTTACAGACTGCTGAGCTGCCTCTAAGGGATGACGTGAGCGCAGACCGTAACTCGGGCTGGGAACTCACTTAGCTCCAGGTTCTCTGTCTCTCTCCCATCAGGAGCCCTTCTCCAGGAGAGCTCTTTGAAAGGTGCATGCCTGCACGTCATGAATTGTCACCATCTCGTCTGTCCTCCCTCACAGGACAGGAAACGTCCGTGGTCCAGGCAGGGACGCTGCCGGCTGCCTCGGGGCTCTCCCTGCCAGGCACAGAGCCTGGTGTTCACAGCCTGCTGCAAAACGGGGCTGGGCACGGTCACAAAGCTCAACACATAAACACCTCTGGGCACCAACGAAGAACCTCAAGCCCTACCAGGAGGAAGGTGGCCCCAGGAGCTGGGGGGTTGCGTGCCGTGCCCGCGACCGCCGGACGTGGGAATGGTCTGGGAATGAGGGAGGCTGGGACGGTAGGGGTGTTAATGAGGATACTTAATTAGTCTCAATTGAGGCATGAAGTATGCTGCTGCACACAACCATTGGCAACCCTGGGAGATGGAAAGGCATGAAATAGCCATGATCCTGGACCGTGGTGCGTGCTGCCAACCGGGCTCGGGGCTGGCATCAACAGCACCGTCCCCACGGCGGG